GTGACGGTTAGAGGGTAAACAAATCGAAGAAAATGAGTTCCGTTGAAGTTTGTTAATTTGGGATAAAATACGGTCCAAGCTATAATACCCCGTATTTATGGACTAGTGCCATACAATATACCACATGACCGTGATAGTAAGGTGTACTAAATGTTTACACGTGTAAATGGGGTTTTGACGACAAATCAAATGGGTATTCAATTAATGACATGTGAAGTGGTTAAAGGCCCCTTTTAAAATATATTTTACTACTTTGTTGGCTTCCTCTATATATATGGAAGGTGCTGCACATTAGTATTATATATACATAGAGACACACTATATACATTTTCTTAACATCTTACTGTGGAGAAACTTTTCTTTAGGAAAATATGGGCAGCAACATAATTTTCGTGGTGTGCAGCAACGTTTTCTGTATTTTTTTGAAGATAAATTACATTTCTTCTCAACAAAAACATACTAAATCCTACGACTAAGGAGAACACGAAGGAACATAACGATTATACTCACGTCGGTTTCCTTTAGGGGATAGCAAATCGGAGATTTCTTCCAAGTGAAGTAAGGTAGAAGAAGAGTATTTCATGACAAATAAGGTAAGAATTTTCCTCTCCTTAGTATATTTAAATTCGTCTAGGTCATGGCTAAATTGTGGGCTGAGAATTATGGAATTAATAGCGAAAAATTATATTTTGACGTTGTTGTTGTTGTATCGACTATTCGATAATTTTCTAAGTTTTGTTGTGGCTGGAAATTGTTGGAATAACTTGAGTTACAATTGGTGTAGTCATTGATATGTGTTTTGAAGGAAAGAAAAGATCAGAAAAGTATGGTTGATAACTGTAGCCAAGCTTTCTGCTCATTGTATCATTGTTTGGTTGTAAAACTTGTTATAGGAATTGCTAGTTGTGTTGTTGTAGTACCTTGACGATGGTAGGCTTGAGAGAATGTTAAGAACATGGGAAATACTCCATTTCATTGTAGGATAGATTATCTTTCGTTATGTGATTAAGAGAATTTTTCGTATAGTTGACAATAGTATTATTCTTGTTATCGTATAGATCGTGAAGCGGATACGAGTTGTACTCTTGAGCAAGTGGGTCAAGACCAGGTATGTTAAGGCTATCCTTTATTTCCTTTTAGCATGATCCCTATGATACAAATGAAACGAGCAAACGCACAACTTTCATAAATACCTCTATTCATAAAAGCACTAGGGGTGCCTATGTTCTTGATTCCCCATGTGTCTTATTATTATATCTTCTGTTCATGGGTCTCAGAAAAATATGTAGTTGATGAAATTTATCCGAAGGCATATTGATCTCATGACATACCAAGAAATCTTATTAACTTACTTCTTATGCATTGCATTCATTTATACATGCACATTAACCCATGACCAGATGGCGTTATATATGCATATATAGATGTATATGTGGTATGAGGAAAGGTTATGGCGTTATATACGACCCATCACCTGATCAGTTGGTATACGTTGATGATTTCGCCCACAGAGGCTGAGATGATATGATGGGATGCCCTCAGAGGCTTGATGTCGTTATGTACACATATACTTATGCATGATATGACATTTATATGCACATGCATGACATTATAAATATTTCAGGATTCACAAAGTTATTTAGGCTTACAGGCGGATTCCTTTACCCCATACTTCTTTTATGTCTTCTATGTACTGATTTTCATGCCTTACATACTCGGTATATTATTCGTACTGACACCCCTATTTCCTGGGGCCTATGTTTCATGCCCGCATGTGCAGGTAGACAGGCTGATGGTCCCCCTTCTTAGGATCCTTGCTCAAGCGAGAGTTGGTGTGCTCCATTTGATCTGAAGTTGCTTTTGGGTTTTGGTACGATATGTTTGTATATATATATATGGGTATGACGGGGCCCAGTCCCATCCTTTATACAGATGCACATTCTATTAGAGGTCTGTAGACAGTCATGTATAGTCAGATAGTATGTGGCCTTGTCGGCTCGCCCTACCGTATTCCGTATATATATGTACATATGTCTTTTGGGCACGTTTTCTCGCGTTTGTTATTCACACAATTCAGTAGTTTACTGCCATACATTATGCATTTCCTACATGTATTTCATGTTTTATCTTAGACGTATGCTTAGGGGTGTTCGACAGGTAGGCTCAGGCACTCGTTATGGCCCATCAGTTTAGGTCGTGACAAAAGTGGTATCAGAGCAGTTCTGTCCTAGGGTTTTCTACAGACCGTGTCTTGTAGAGTCATGTTTATGAGTGTGTTGTGCACCACATTTATAAACAGGATGCTACAGGACGTATAGGATGTTATCCTCCATTCTTATCTTAGATCGTGCGATATAAGGATTCATTTTCCTAACGATATATTATGTTTTCAGCGATGCCTCCAAAGGCTACAGCCACCTAGAAAGGCAAGTCCGTGGCTGATAAGACTACTAGTCGAGCACCACGAGTAACCAGGGCTCGGGGAGAGTCTCATAGTGAGATTCCATCTCAGACTTCACATACCCCGTCCTCTCCAGAGGAGCTCCGAGGGGCACCAGCTCCAGCGCCTGCCCCTGTAAACCCAGCTCCTCAGCCAGATGCACCAGGTCAGGAGATGAGAGATGCTATTTGTCACGCCCCAAACTCAGAGAGCGCTACCGGCGCTCAACCGAGTAAAACCGGCTGAGCAAGCCTGTTTGATTTCATTCTACCCAAATTCATCCCTGAATAAAAAGGAGATGTACTCCGTTAATCAAATATTGAAAAGGTTTCATTAACCACTTCCATTTCATTCCCATTAACAGCATCATTCAATATTTCCAAAATAGTACGAGTTTATAGATTTAATGAAAAACATGTTGCCAAATACCAACAATTCTAATTCAATTGCCAACATCAAACACCACCACAACCTGTCTACAGATCCTCTAAGTACAACTGAAGAGTAATATGGAAATACCGGTAACAAGGCCCCAGCTATACCTCAAAACACAGTACATGAGAAACAAAAGATACATGACCCCGAAATAAAGGGGGCTCACCAAGTCAGCTGAAGAGAGTGTACCGCTATCACAGATCAATGCCGCCTGTTGTGAAACCACCTGCATCCATTAAAGATGCAGCGCCCCCGACAAAAGGGACGTTAGTACTGTTGAATAGTACTAGTATGTAAAGCTAAAAGTCCTCTTTCAAAATAGAATGACCATATAAGAAAAGAAAAACCATAGAAATAGCAAGTCACAATCAACTATATCCAAATGCCCAATTGAAACATAAGAATTTTCAAAATACGAAAATAATATATATTTTTGGTTGGGAGATCATTAGCACCGATATACCACCGTCTTTGTTAGCAGGAGTCTAATCATGTCGGCTAGGCCATCTCCTAACGAACAATGTGATTTGACATGTGATGCAAAAGAAAGTTGTTACCAAGAGTAGTACCACCATGTGCGCAACATGGCGCCCAATCTCCACCCGATCAGCTAGGCCGCCTTCCCACATATGCCGTGTGGGTTGACTTTTCCAATTCACGGCTATTACAAGTTTCATCCCAATTAAGGGTAATAATCATAATTTCACCAATATTTCAATTTCATCCCAAATAAGGGGAATAATCACAATCCACCCCTATACCGGCAGGTGTAGTTTCAAGTGTGGGCCTTATGACCCACCCTTCCTCGATTTTGCTAATGATACTCCCAAAAATATTTTTTATTATTTGATTTGAACACAAAGGTAACATAAATACAATTGTACTCACCTCAAACTCTTTCACATTATATAAATTCTCATTAGTATTTCCAGTCACTCACAACAACAATATTTCCTTGGCTCATTTGGCCATTCACAAGATTCTTTATTCCTGGCACGGTGGTCGTATTTTATGTTCCACACTTTCACCTCTTTTATTTTCAAGGACACCATCAAATATCAACATACATAATATTTCAGAAATCATATACTTCAAATCCATTTGTAATGGGAACTTTAAACACAAAAGGTTTCTTCCCAAAGAATAAGGCATACCAACCAGCAATAGAAACACACATCAAAATCATAAACAATCAATACACCATTTATTCTTGCAATACTCTTTCCCAGAAATGACAATGTACAATTTCAACACCTGAGTATGTAAGAACTCGAATCACACTGGATATATTTATAAAGTAAAGCATTAGTTAAAGCAGCCACTTATGGGCATGAATTGAGTACAAAAGCTTTTAGGCAATTCTATTTTCGAAATTATTTTTAAACAATTGAGTCGAGGCTCATTTGATATTATTTATCGCATCCTCTCATTTCATTTGCACTACTAGCCACAATCATAACTTAAATGTTTGGCACGTTGGCCACACTCTATATCCCCAATTCACTTATTTTATTTTCAAGCATCTTTATAGATTATCAACAACAAGATATTTTTCATCAAGACTTTAGGTAAACATATGATCAATCTAGAGCCGTAAACATATCGAGTTTTTCCCACACAATTTGGCATACTAGCTTTCATTTGAAACACGACTCAAAGCCATAACATCTTAATACGCAACCCATACTTTCAAACTCACGGGAACATTATGGAATTCGATACTAAGAGAGAAAGTTTAGCCAACATACCTTGTCCGAGATTTCCTTAAGTTACTACAACGCCTCAACACTTCTAGCAATAATAATCTATAGGAAGATAGTGAAAATCGGTTAATATTTAGAAGGATTTCCATGATGTAACTCTCTTAGGAATTTTGTCAAACACCTAACATGCGAAATAGACCACAAGGCTCTACAATGGAGATACTTTCATCCCTCAACCAATTTCAACAAGAAACTACCCAAAATGATTCATTAACCCCACATACTATATAATGTATTGTTTCTTTCTGTTCTAATAGGCTGTGATGTACTGTTTATCAATCAATTACATCATACCTAAAGCAATTCTCCAACCTCCATGGCTATAGTATGAGTGTATGACGCTGATACCACAAAAGTCAAACAAATGATATTGTAATGCTCGGGATTTACTTTTAAGAATCTAAAATTGAACTCAAATAGAAGTTAAATTTCATATCTAAAGATTAGTCAAGATTCAACATAGAACCATCAGTACTATAGCATATAAAAAAACTATAGCAGAAGTCATCGGTGAGAGCTACTTTTCATGTATTATATCAAACCTTATTCTTGTCAACCATTCTCTGAATTATGACGTAATCAAACCTCATATCTATCTTCCAGCTGCGAGATGACACTTGCAAAGACGCGGTAACCTTGGCACATATCTGACAGTAGACAATATTCATTCTTTGCATGGTATGTGGCCATTAAGCCTGCATGTCATTCATTTCAAAAGGTTCAGATTAGAACAAAAGTTTATTCGACTCAATTAACAAGAAGAACAATCAAACAGTACATTTAAGAAATGCAATTGTGTCAAAGTAAGAAATTATGTTACAGATATCAATATAAACATATCCAAACTACTCTGGTAAAGAAATGATACATATTCCAATAGTCAAATGAAGCGTCTTAGCAATAGACTGCACAGAGCTCCATAAATGAGTTGGAGCAGGGGTTGGAAATGATTTGCAGAGTTCACATTCTTAAGCTAATGATAGATTGATTCTATGTGCTCATGACATCTGACGAAACCTTGATTCTTTGTGATGCAGAATTGAGAATAGATAAAGCATTGGAGGGCAATTTTTGAATCTATATCCAGTCTATAAGAATATGGTAAAAACTAAAAAGTCACATCTTTCCAGTCAATAATATTATGTACCATGCATATATTTGGATAATCCATCAGGAACTAAATCTACATCTGAAGGGATATGGCAAAGGGTGGTGCAAATTTTAAAAAGCTATCAAGGTGGAACAAACAATTTTGGGAACTTCTCTCTTTTGAGGGAAGGATAACTCTGATTAACAATCATATGCTTGATGCATTACCAGCTTACATGATATTCTTATCTCTAATGACAAAAAGGGTGAAGAGAAGGTCAGACCAGCCGAATGGGATTAGGAATATGTTAAAATGCACCCATCTCCTGCCTATTTAGGCATTCAGTTCAGTCAATTTCTGCACTCCTAATTTATAACCATTGAACATTTACTCCTCAAGCTTGTTTGCACCACTAATACCCAATCGAAAGTGTGCTTCCAAACAGAAAATGTCAGAAGGATTGGTCACCAAAGCTTGCGTTCAAATTGATGGTTGCAAGTAACATCTTCATTGTATATCTAGAAACCTACTCAGTCCTGATAGTAATGTCTTATTGGTTCAGAATTATGTCTAACAACGGAAAAGAAGAATGATAAAACTACAAAAATGGAAATTGTACCGTAGCCAGAAGTTTGAACATCAAAACCCTCGTCCTGCCACACAAATAATGAATAAGATACTGAAAATTCGAGTTTCTAGATGGCCAAACAAGTAAATCTGAAAGAAGTTATCCACCTGCAGATCTCTTATCAATGGCAAAGTACCAGTTATAGAATATGGTTTTACATGCCCAACTTCCTCTTCAGTAGCTTTGCATAGCACATGAAAGCCCCGAGAATTGAGATCACAAGCAACTCCAGATGAAGCTTCGTCAAAACTTATAGTGATTCTGGTGGATTAATACGGAACATTAATTGCTAACGAACAATTAAAAGAAAGAAAAACTGATAAGATAAACTAAGGAAGTAATTACTTGAGCTCTAGCTTTTATGGACAACTCCAAGTAATCATATGATTTCCCATCTTGTCAAAGAAGCGTATAACATACCTGCCCCTTAAGTTCTCATCTGGCAGGACATATTTTGAAACAGGGCCTCGACAATCAAGTTTGTCAATGTTGGAATTTATATCATCAACATATTCTTGTAATTTCTTCATAGCATCTGATACACTGAATAAGGTGCATTGTTAAAAATCCTACTACCTTCGAAAGATTCGTCTGTTCATTTCTTGTTTCGAAATACGAGCTGAAAAGTTCTTGATTTTGCAGAAATTGAAAAAAAGACTCATAGAAATGAGATATAACTAAAATTGCAGATAAAAATAAGTAAAAAGCAGAAAGTAAAGTGTAATAAGGTATGAGACCACTATGATATTTCTTAACAAATTAATCTTCTTTATCAAGAACTGAAAAGGAATAATAGAGAGCAAAACACATACCTGTAAAATGGAGTCAATCTGCAAAGAAATAGATATGGTTAAATATCATCATCGATGAAAGATCTAAAGGAGGCCGTGACGAAGAAACTTACCTAACATCTCCAGAAACAGTGCACTCAGCAGGAATTTGGTTGATTCCACCCCCAGGATCTGTAGAGCAAATAATTTAGCACATAAAAGCAGCTGGAGAAAATATGCTCAACATTTTCAAGTTCATCCTACAAAGACTTGAGAACTTACAAAACCACTGAGTTGGTTTCATCGTCGATGGTGTAGCAAATTCATAAACTTGCTCTTTAGGATGGGCAGGGAAATCTCGATAGAAGCGGGACTGAATTTCTTTGAGTGCTTCCATTGCAAGCTCCAGAGGATTGATAGCCTAACCATTTGGCATAAAATTTCATACAAATTAGAAGGTATCTACATAGAAAAATGGTTTCAGTTTCACTGTATTCAAGAGCATAAAGTTGTATCGATTCAAGGAGGTTCGCAAGTAAAGTATATAGGCTAGAGAGAGAAAGGTAACTCGACATTCTCTCTAATTCAAACTCAACCGAAGCCTTTGTTTTTTATTAATCATTCAACTCAAGTGATTGGGTAATATTTAATTCATTAACGGTTCATTGCAGGTCACTAGTTTTATGACATCACGTGGAGCCAGTCCAAGTCAGAAATATGGTACAAGCGGGTGGGCACAGGATAAATTAATGAGCAGAATGAATGTTACCAGAAAGGTGATCCTCTGGTTCTGCCACTTGGCTTTGGTAGGCCATGGCAACGTACTCGGGAAATGGAAGTTCAAGGAAACTAGCATATGCATATTTCTGCTCCCATAAGTTTAACAAATATGGGAGGTTTTTTAGTACTGTGGCATTATAAGGATCGAGAAGATCATTTCTCATACTTCCATAAGTTACAAGTGATGGAGGATGGGACGAACTGGCCAACAAAATTAAAAATTCATGTATAAAGATGGCTCAATCTTAAGGGTAAAAATTATGACAATTCTGCTAAAAATCTCTTCAGGTGATCAAAGGGGTGCAATTCTCCTCCATCAGAGCCCATTTCCCTAACTTGCAGAGCACATGTGCTGATGCTGTAAAGAAGATCAGGTGGCTTTCTAAAGAGCCCAAGCTTAGTCATGTACAGGAGTAGGACAACAGAATTAAAACCAGAGAAGCATTGATCCATCAGAGGACCTTCTGGGAAGATGCACTGTATACAGATTTGCCTGTGAGATAACAGAGGTACCAACATGTTCAGATGTGATAAGATGAATTCATAAGAAAAGGCACTCTCCAACAGGCATTCAAGTTTATGAATAGTGGCTTTCAATTTTTATTTGAATTTCGTTCCAAAAGAAGCCTAGCACTTTATGATGGGGGAGTGGAAATGGAAAAACAACTCGTTAGAAACTCAAGTGATAGACTCGGACATCAGGATGTGCTCTAGCAGAAGTTGAACCTGAATGGGTGTTGAATAGATACAAGGTCTTCCACTCCATCTATGATCAAAAGTATCATGAAGGCAACTGCAGATAAATGTATCCTCACCTGAATGGGTGCGGAGGATGGCAACAAAGACAAGAGGAAATATTGCTTAGAAACCACCTCTGATAGGCCCGGATCAGCGTTAGAGGACCCAGCAGATAAAATACCGAGACAAATAGAGGTGGAAATAGAAAATTTCATATACAAGGTCCCAATATGGACTGAATTACTTGCAAAACCAGAACCTACTGGATTCTCGCCGATAACAATTGCAGACAAACGGATGCTTTGGTTGGACCTTCGGTTAGATTGATGGGATTAGTCACGTGGCAAGTCGTGAGTGTAATTTGAATTTCAAACGGCGCCATTCTGATTTAGTGAGCAGATGCTGGAAACATACAAGTGAAACACTAGTTACAACTCATAATGAATTGGGCCCAATTTGTCTTGAGCCCAATATTAACAAAGACAAGCAGATGAAAAACTTGGGCCACGCTGTGGATATCTCTATTTCGAACAGCAAGCACAGAGAATGGGCTCTCAATGAAGATAATTCAAGAACCCAATTGGACTCACTTCAGCCGGAAATAGAGGCCATTATTTACACAAAAAGGTCAGGGGAAGCTTTTGTAACTCCTGTGTCAGAATCTCCGGTGCAGGTGTCAGAACCTTCTTCCAGTTCTTTTCTCATCACAACAGAGAACAACATGCAATTAGTTCAATACCATCACAAATAGACGATGATGCGATGACTATTATTCATTGTGCAGATGTAGAAGAAACAAGTCATAGGAGGAACGAAGCATTACAAATTATTGAGGCAGAGCTTCCAAACATAGCATGGCAAGAGGAGGAAGCTGCTCTTTTGGAGAATCAAACGGAAAGGCAGATTTAGATGCTTTCAAAAGAACGTGATAAAGCTGAGCAGATAATATAGGACCAGAACTTCAGGAGTGTGACACTGAAGTTTTCTCTGTACATGAAACTTGATAGAAGAAGACAAGATAAAAGAAGAGACTGCTGCCTGTGCACTCCAGGGGCGAAGCTATGTTGGCCCAAGGGTGGTCAACTGACCACCCTTCATCGAAAAATTATACTACGTATAAGGTAAATATTACTTGTTATTGATTAAAAATAGACTTTGAACACCCTTGCATAGCCCACTGGCAAAGGGTGTTCCAATTTTGAACACCCTTATTGAATTTCCTGACTTCGCCACTGGTGCACTCCCAGCAATTCCGAGTTAAAAGGTGAGTACGAACTGAAGAGACTACTATTCGGTGTTTTTAAAAGCGAAAAGCGAAAAGAAACGACAAGGTCCATGGGGCTTGATGAGAAAAGTGAGATGGGTTTATCTATCTTAGGAGACCTAGCTTAATCAAATAAAACTTCAGAATCTGGAAAGTGGCCATACAACACATTGACAGCTGGGACTTACTTCCAAGAGCATCTTATAGTACTTAGTTAGCAGACTTAACTAAATGGATTAACACCAAGGAGAGCTTGTATGAATTAATTTACAAGCCGCTCCATATCTAAGCTAAGCAAAAGGCATAAAACAGCTCTTAATGCGGTGTTTTTAGCATTCAGATAATTTCTTATCAAAACCTCAAGGATTCACGAGTATTGACTTGGATGAATAGCTGCTCTAGAGTGGTCATCTCCATTTACTAACTAATATCCAACAATGTCAAAGACCTGCCTAACTAAAGCGGCTCTAACAGATATCCAACAATCTCCTTGTGGATTTAATATCACACGAACCGTTATACTGAATGGGAGTCAGTCTGCAACAGTAGAGAGAATGACTTGACCTAACCAAATAACATAAATGCCATAAAAGTTGAAAACCTAAGTTGTAAGTGAGTGTTTACTAATAAAAGATGGGCTACAATCATCAGAGGTCATGTAATAGCTCAAGAGGCATCTACAGGACAAACAGCATAATACTTACAATCATCATGTCTCTCAAACCTAGCTGCCTACTCAACCTAAGATACTCCATTTTAGGATTTTATGGATATTCAAATATACTCCTCATGAAGAGTAATAGAGGTCTATGCACGGATTGCAAAGTTATCCCGAGTGAGAACCTCGCGAACCGGCATAGGCTCTTGGTGATGGACTTAAAGATCATGAGGAAGAAAAGGAAGAGGGTTGTGCGGGGTCGACCGACGATCAGGTGGGGAGTCTTGACTAAGGACAAAGCTCGGGAGTTGGGAGAGAAGTTGCTGGCTATGGGGGCCAGTAGGAGCAGTGGGGACGCAAGTAGTATGTGGGCTATGACGGCGAACTGCATTAGCAAAGCGGTGAGAGAGGTGTTAGAGGTTTCGAAGGGTTACTCTGGCGGCCACAGAGGGGACTGGTGATGGAATGAAGAGGTCCAAGGAAAAGTGGAAGCCAAGATAGCGACGTATTTGAAGTTAGTGGAAAGCACAGACGAGGAGAAGAGGATGAACAGAGAGTGGTACAAGAAGGTTAAGAAGGAGGCGAAGTTGGCAGTCACAGAGGCTAAGTCTGCTGCGCTTGGTCGTTTGTACGAAGAACTTAGGGACAAAGGCGGGGACAAGAAGCTATTCAGACTGGCCAAGTTAAGAGAGAGGAAAGCCCGTGACCTGGACCAAGTGAGGTGCATCAAAGACGGGGAAGGCAGAGTTCTAATGGAGGAGGGACAGATTAAACGAAGCTGGCAGACATACTTCCATAAACACTTGAATGAAGAGAGGGACAAGAACATTGTGTTGGGTGGTGTGGAGCACTCTGACAAACGTTGAGATTTTGGGTATTATAGGCGCATAAAAATCGAGGAGGTCGAGAGGACTATGTGTAAGATGAGCAGGGGTAGAGCGACAGGGTCAAATGAAATTTCGTTGGAATTTTGGAAGTACGTGGGTAGGGCAAGCTTGGAGTGGCTCGGTGGGTTGTTTAACGTTATTTTTAGGACGAAGAAGATGCCTGAAGAATGGAGGTGGAGTATAATGATTTCGTTGTACAAGAACAAAGATGATATCCAAAATTGCAACAATTATAGAGGCATCAACTTGCTTAGTCATACTATAAAAGTTTGGGAGCGAGTGGTGGAAGTGAGGGTAAGGATGGGTGTGTCTATTTTCGAGAACCAGTTCGGTTTCATGCTGGTCATTCGACTACGGAAGCCATCCACCTTGTTATAAGGTTGGTGGAACAGTACAGGTAAAGGAAGAAAGATTTGCATATGGTGTTTATTGACCCATAGAAAGCGTATGATAAAGTCCCAATGGGGGTTCTATGGAGATGCTTAGAGGCTAGGGGTGTCCATGTACCGTACATTAGAGTGATTAAGGACATGTATGATGGAGCTAAAACTCGGGTGAGGACAGTGGAGGAGACTCGGATCATTTTCCAATTATGATGGGGTTACACCAGGGATCTGCGCTTAGCTTGTTTTTATTTGCCTTGGCGATGGACGAACTGACGCGCCACATTCAAGGGGAGGTTCCAGGGTGTATGCTATTTGCAAATGACATTGTACTGATTGACGAGAAGAGAGGCAGTGTTAACAAGAAGTTGGAGGTTTGGAGACAAACCCTAGAGTCTAAAGGTTTCAAGCTGAGCAGGAATAAGACAGAATATTTGGAGTGCAAGTTCAGCCATGTGACAGAGGAAGCAAACATGGACATAAGGCTTGATTCACAAGTCATCTCCAAAAAGGAAGTTTCAAGTATCTTAGGTCTGCGATCCAAGGAAATGTGAAGATTGACGAGGATGTCACACATTGCATCGGAGCGGGGTGGATGAAATAGAGGCTAGCATCCGGCTCACACAAGATGTGCCGCCGAAACTCAAAGGTAAGTTTTACAGAGTGGTGGTTAGACCGACTATGTTGTATGGGAACGGAGTGCTGGCCAGTCAAGAATTCTCATATCCAGAAGATGAAAATAGCATAAATGAGGATGTTGAGATGAATGTGCGGGCATACCAGGTTAGATAAGATTAGGAATTAAGATATTCTGATAAAGGTGGGAGTGGCCCCGTGGAGGACAAGATGCGGGAAGCGAGACTAAGATGGTTCGAGCATGTAAAGAGGAGAAGCCCAGATGCCCCAGTGAGGAGGTGCGAGCGATTGGCTTTGATCGGTAGGAGTAGAGGTAAAGGGAGACCTAAGTAGTATTGGGAGAAGGTGATCAGGCAGGATATGGTGCAGCTTCAGTTTACCGAGGACATGACCCTTAATAGAAGGGTATGGAGGTCTAGAATTAGAGTAGAAGGTTAGTAGGTAGTCGAACGTATTTTTGTTCCATACCGATGGTTTTAGGGTTAGTCTGGTAGTTTTTCTTGTCCTAGATTGCTAGTAGTTCACGTTGTTTTCCTGTTATCTTTCGCCTCGGTTTCTTAGTATTCTATTGTTGTTAGAGCTTGTTGCTACTATTGCCTTTTGTTGTTATTATCTTGGCCCCCTTAGTCTCTCTACCTTCCTAGAGTAGGTGTAAGATCACCTTACACACTACCCTCCCCAGACCCCACTTGTGAGATTCCACTAGGTTGTTGTTGTTGTTGTATGAATTATGAATATTCAAATATATGTATAAGCAATGTGGGCAAAAAATATCTGAATCTACATGAGGATCTCAAGCTTAAAATTCTGGGTCAAAAAACTCTTGCTTTTTCTCTTGGCGCAAAAAAACATTGAATCTTCTGTCAATGTTCTTTAATAATTCCTCTAATTATTATTAGGATTAACAAAAGGAAGTTTAACATGCACTTCAAAGTGGCGGATTACCATTCATAACAGTGGAGATAAAAGGAGCTGATGAAAGTGATACCGGCATATGCAATGATGTTTCTATTGCTTTTCAAAGGCAATTTGGCAAAAAAGAGAATGACAGGATCTGTCACACAGATAAAAATCCAACACAATAGTATAATCTTGTGCAAACTAATTCCTCTATGGATCATTACTTTTTCTTCTCAAATTTCTTGTCTATTACAACAGCAGAATCTATCGTCAAAACAACAAGATGGGCATTATGTTTAAATTTTAGTTCGAAAGAAGCTTAGATGTCAAACGGTTGAGAAAAAAGAGTACCTTGTGGGCAAGACCACTGTGAAAAAGCTTTCCGGTTACATGGAGCTTCCAAGGTATACTGCCACCAGTACCAATGCATGGCTGTTTATCTGCTGTGTCGATCCAGAATCTATGTAGAGGAAGAAATACTACAAATAAATTCACTATTTCTCTGCAATGAATCTTGATACCTTAGCAACCAGTTACTTACAGAGGGCCTTGCTTTAACTTGTCAAGCAATCCATCCTTCACTAATGCATCCACACCAACCCCAGGGATCGATGAGTTCTCTTCACTGGCTATGAAAACAGCAACTACCGTGGATTTCAACTGTGGTTTTGTCTCTCCAAGCCGCCTCATAAGCTCCGCAACGAGAGCCACATGACCTAAACAATCAGTAGTTCCACGTCCCCGAAGTTTATCACCATCAATGCTCAATGAAAAAGGATCAAATTCCTGCATACAAAATTGTTATACCATTATATGCGAGACCGTTATCATTGCCAACTTATAAGGGAGCATAATTTACAACAAATTGTTAATTTGTGGAAGTAACACAGTAGTCATAAGGCAAGCAAAGGTACGACATTCAAATTTAAACTATCACAGTGAATACAGACCCATTAGTCATAATAATTGAGCAGGAGGAGTGTTCCATGTGCTCCTCCAACTGAAATAATGAGCAGTACAATCTAACAGCATATTATATTACTTGGATGAAATAAGCTACCAGCTATGGGGCTCAATCAGCATCAATCCGTTTCCTTCTCTTGACCACAAGCATAATTTCCCCGCCCGCACCCTCAACTCCCCAAAGAAAATCTTAAGAAATAAATGGCAACTTAATTATTCAGCACAGATGCATTCAATATGGACACCTGGTGGTTTTTTCAAATAAACACCTCGTGCTGAAATTATTACTGGAGGAAACAGCATAATCTATCTGTACATTTTCCTGGATGACGTTACATTCCTAATACAACCTAAATTCCATAATTCTTTACACTTTTATACTAATAACATTATTAATTTGTACAACTTTCAAAAATATAAATTAATTAAGCTACTTAAATTTTAAACTGTGTTGTTAAGTTTTCTCTGCCAATCTGCTCTTACCATAAATATAATAAATACTTCATATAAGCTAAATTAACATCTTTATACGCACTATTAGGTATCCAGTCATATATAAATATAAAGCAATGAAAGCACAACTTAACACCAGACAGAAGAAAAAGCAACCAACTTTACACAGTACATCCAAAATAATGAAAGCAAGGGCTAGCAATATTAAATATTAACATACCCAATCACAAGGGTTAGCAGTGACAACATCCATATGCATACCAACAAAAGACAAGATATTTCCAGGCTGAGTACCCGGGTATTCCACAATAAGATTACCCCTTTTAGGCTTATAAGTAACATGATTGATGACAAGTGGGCCGCCGCCGGTAGTGGTGCTATAAGGAAGAAGGATATCAAGAACGTGATTCACAATCCTGTCTTCCTCCGGGATTAGCTCCGGTGGGTTGTTCTGTACATATTTGGACTCACCAATTAATTTCCTCAAAAGGGTAATGAATAATTCTTTGTTCAGATCACCCAAAGTCTGCTTTACAGTAGCCATGGTAGCTGTATCGTAGTGGTGAGTTGATGCCTTGTTTTTGGAACGGAGCAAACGAAGGAACTTTGAGGAGTTTGACGTTTCAACTAAACCTATTTTATTTGTTTAACTACTGATATTAGTCTAATCTAGACCACCAGAGTTTTGGTTGGAACCCTAAATTCGGATATATTAAGACTTTAATACGAATACAGAACACCAGATAAAAGCAAAAATAATATTAATCTATAAAATTATGATCTCATATATCATATTAATAAATTAGTCTACAGAACTTAATGAATAAAACTTATGAAAATTTATGTTTGAGTAATTAAAAAAAAGTATAATTTCATGAAAAAGATGAATATTGATCTTATATAACTAACTCAACAAAGAAAATTATCATATAGAACTCCGTAATTATCCGTTGATATGTTCAACTTAGAATTTGTTTTGATTTTATAATTTTATCACTTTAATTTCACAGGCCATTATGCTTCCTTTTCAGTTTCAATAAAAACATTCAATCGTTGAAGATTTAAGATGGAAAAAATTTAAAGTATGTTTTGAAGTATTAGCTTAAAAAAACTTGCTTGAGAACCTGACATTACCAAAAAAAAAATTATTTCTAAAATAAATGGAGTATTTACTATCCGATAAATTTATTTACCATCACAATTTAAGATTATTTTTTTAAAAATAAAATAACTCTCTATCGTAGCTTCACAAAGATAACTATTATCACCTAATAAGAAAAACAAAAGCTTATTTAAAGAAGAAGAATAACAAGAAGGGTTGAAAAAGATGTTCAAAATGAAATAAAACAAATACGTTGATTTTTCTATCTTAATAAATTTCTTTGAATATAGATCAATTCATAGTAAGTTTGATTTAATAAAATTTAAAGAGAATACATTATTATATATTTTATTAAAAAATTATACTATCAACAGATTTTAGTGTGTCCTTTATATTACTATCATATTGTGTATAAGTTACACGCATTGTGTAGAAAGTTAGCACAATCATATAACTTATAAGATAATTACATGTAATATCTTTATAAACATAGCAATTATATTTAAAATATTATCTTATAACTATCAAATGTTACAATTTACTGATATTATAAAAAGAATACGAATAATATACAACTTAAATCTATATAACAATCACCAATGTATTAAATACATATATATGAAACTTAAGTATAATTATTAATTTCTGCATGATTAGGAATAGGATACCCAAATTTAACTGCATAGATAACATAAAACTAACGGATAATTAGTATGTGGTATATTTTATATATTTATTGGTACAATGATATTAAGTTTTAACTAATAAATTTATTGATAATTAAGTTAGTTAGTTATCGGTAACGACTAAATTAACTATAACAAAGTAAGAAAAGGAAAAAGAATAACTTGGGAAGAAGAATAATCTCACTACAATATGTTCAACAAATTAAAGCTCTTCCATATCGAAATTCTAAATATAGGATTTTCTATCCAGTTCAAATAAGGAATGAGTAAAAATTTTATTGTTTCCAAAGTTCTAATATATTAGGAGAATAATTAAATGACAATGTAGTCCAATGTGAACTCTATTTTTAAGGGTAAAAAAAGCGAACGACATTTCGGTAAGGGCGTTCGTACTTTTAATATAATATCGATAGATTTTATGTCACGACCTGAAATTCTCAATCTCAGGACCGTGATGGCGCCTAACATCTACTTGCTAGGCAAGCCGACGTTATTAAATTGATTAACCAGCTTTTAACAATTAGCACAAAGTAATGATATTCAACAATAAATAAACTCATAATTTAACACAGTGTTAATAGAAATAACGCGATACTAACTACTCCCAAAAAGCCGAAGTCACAATTACATGAGCTACTATAATACTACATATATGGACTGAAGCAAAGTACAACTGTTTGAAACTAGATAAATAGTAGAATAGATAAAGAAGGGGACTTCAGGGATGCGGACGTCGTGCAGCTATACCTCAACTCAAGTCTCCGATACAACCGAATCCGAGCAGAGCACCTCTAGACACTGCTAGGATCAACACCAGTATCTGCACAAGAAGTGCAGAAGTGTAGTGTGAGTACAACCGAACAATGTACTCTGTAAGTATCGATCCTAACTCCGACGAGATAGCGACGATGCTATGACAAGACACTTACGTAAAATTCTGTACAAATATATATACATAATGCAATAGAATAACTAGTAGGATAATTTAAATATTAATTAGGAGGGGACATGTAAAAAGGGGAGTACAATATGTACGGCAAGTACAAACCATCAAATAATCTTCCTCTGATGAACAATAATAATGAAACAAATTAAATCATCTACCGGAAACCAAGTAAAGCTATGAAATCAACAATGGCACGGCATCACCCTTCGTGCTTTTACCCTCGTCCTCATCATGTAATATCATAAATGAAATGACACGGCATCACTCTTCGTGTTTTTACTCTCAACCTCACATGATATGATAAATGATGATAAGCAATAAAATGCATGATATCACCCTTAGTGTTTTAATCCTCACAATCCTCTCAATAGATGAAGATGTATGCAAATAAGGCACGGCAACACCCTTCGTGCTTTTCACTCTTCCTCGCCAAGCAACAATACAAATCCGAATTAACAATGCAAGAGGAGAAGAAATTTCACTTCAATTATAGTACCATGATAACAAACTCAACTTTTAAAATTTCCAACATCTTTAAAATAAACAACAAATACGAGGCAGATAATTAAAGAAGTAATAATCTATCCTAAGCATGAAAAAAATAGTCAATGAAACAACTTAGAACAAAGAAACAATTTTCACTCGCATGCTTTAACCCAATGGCAATGTATATATACTCGTCATCTCTTATATACGTCATCCCCACACATAAATCACATAGCAAATAAACCAACAAGTCGTAATTCCTCAAGTCAAGGTTAACCATGATACTTATCTCACTCCGCAACCAAATCAATACTCAACCACGACTTTTCCTTTAAAATTAGACTCCAAATCAATCAAATCTAACCGAATATAGTTCAAATAATTCAAAATAGGCTTTAGAAACTACCCACAAGTGAAAAAGATTCAATCTTTAATAATTTTGGAAAAAGTTAACAAAAGTCAACTGTCACGACCCGAAATTTCTCACCGACGGGACCGTGATGGCGCCTAACATTTCACCTGCTAGGCAAGCAAACGTTAGAGAATCATTAACCAATTTCTTATTTTCTCATTCAGTAATAATAAAAAAATAATTAACTAAGATGGAATATAATAATTGCGAAATATCATAAAATTGTATTAACTACTACCACCCGGATCTGGAGTCACCATTCACTAGCATTATAGAATTTACAATAAGTAATAGTCTGAAAGAAATACAACTGTCAGAATGAAAGAAAACAGTAGGACATAAAAGACAGACGGGGACTTCAAGATCTGTGAACGCCGACAGATCTACCTTGAGTCTCCGGACAGCGGACCAGTAGCAAATCTCGATCCCCACATATAACCGGAACAATATAATCATGCTAGTGGTAACAACAGTAAATAAAGAAATAATAGGAAGGGGACATACAGTGAGGAATACAATATAAAGAGTGAGAATAATGAAAAGACAGAATTAAACAGAAAATCCTTAAACGAATTGAGCAATTAAAACTGCAAGAGAAAACTGCACAGCATCACCCTTCGTGCTTTTACTCTCAACCTCACCAAGTAACAAATAAGACTGCACGGCATCA